GTTTGCCTGTAGGTAGAGCTGGGTGGGAGTCATTTCTAAATGAATATGTGCTGTGAGTCAAGGGACCTTGGCAGGGAAGCAGGGAATGGGTGGCCTGTGTGTCCAGAGCATTAAGATGGGAGTAGTGGGTGATGAAGGTGGTGAAGATAGTTTCGGGCGGGCGGGGGGGGGGGGGTGTGCTTGAAAAGAGAAATATTAAGTAGCAAGGTCAGTAAAGAAGACTTTATTAAATCAGGATTCCAAATTTAAATAAATAATATTGAGATTCTAGGGTGGGATCTCAACTATATCATATTTTCTAAAAAATCTTCGTGGTTTTTTTAAAAATATATTTGTATTGATTTCAGAGAGGAAGGAAGATGGAGAGAGAGATAGAAACATCAATGATGAAAGAATCATTGGTTGGCTGCCTTCTGCACACCCCACGTGGGGGCTCAAGCCCGCAACCCTGGCATATGCCCTGACTGGGACTCAAACCCTGACCTCCTGGTTCACAGGTCTGCACTCAACCACTGAGCTACTCCAGCCAGGCTCTTCTTGTGTTTTAAGTGTTAATATGCCTCATGGACCTACAACATGTAAAATCTCATGTGTTAAAAAGCTATAATGTGAGATTCATCAAAAACATGTTATAATCGTTGCTGTTTCACTATTGACAGTTCAGGGAAATAACCAACACTTGAGAATGTGGTGGTTTTTTTTTTAATCTATTTCATCCCTAAATATATTCACTTTTTCATTCAGTATGATTTTCTCTTTAATTTTTCTATTTGACAGAGGATTGTTTTACTGTATTAAAGATGAAAATAGAGTATAATCACCATAAAGCTTAGTATATATGATTTTATGTCACAACACTGACAGTAATTCTTATGCACAGTGAACTAGCCTAAAGCAAAGCCCAGAAGCGCATTCTGAACAGCCAAAGCATTCTGCCTTTAAGGAAATTATCATATCGTATAGGGAATAAGAAGAAAATCCCAAGGTCTCCCTGCTTGCCTTGGACATTTTCGCTGGCTACCCTCACCTTCCGCCTGGCTCAGCCTCGTTATTCAGGCCTCAGCTTAGATCTCAGTTGACTCCATTGTAGTTTAAGATGGATAACTTATTCTGCCGCGCATTGTTCTAAGTGCTCCACCTGTACTAATGCGTTTAATACTTACTACACTCCTACGAAAAACTATTTCATTACTCTTTTTTTTTCTGATGAGGAAACCAAACCACAATGTGGTTAAGTAACTTAATGGGCCTCACATTAATGGCCGAGCGAGAGTTCCAACATAGGCTGAGTCTGTCTTAGTCAAATATTAAGGTTTCTGGAACTTAGTACATGTTAATTAATGTGTCTATTATTGTGAGGTTTAAAATACATAATGGAATGATCTTCCTTGGGAGTTTGGTTCTTAAAAGATACATCTTTTTCTCCTATCACTGAAATTAATACTTTTTATAGAGCTTTGTATCCCCCCTTCTCTTCCCTTTGTAATGTACACAAAGGATTTTCTTTGTGTATGTTAAGAATATTGCAAATATTTTCTTCCTGAGAACCTGTCATTTTATTTAATCATTCTCCTGTTTCAGTTAAACATTTGGGTTTCTTTTGCCAGAATTTTAATATCATAATGCTTAAGTTGACTATCCCAGTAAAATAATTTTTTTCTCTATCTATGTTCTTAGGATGGATTCCTAGAAGTAATCATCCAAGATAATAACTATGCTTTAAGGCAGCGGTTCTCAACCTGTGGGTCGCGACCCCTTTGGGGGTTGAACGACCCTTTCACAGGGGTCGCCTAAGACCATCAGAAAACACATATATAATTACATATTGTTTTTGTGGTTAATCACTATGCTTTAATTATGTTCAATTTGTAACAATGAAATTGGGGGTCACCACAACATGAGGAACTGTATTAAAGGGTCGCGGCATTAGGAAGGTTGAGAACCACTGCTTTAAGGTTTTTGATGCCAAAAAGCTTTCCAGAAAAGTTGTGCTGATGTACACACCCATTAACAAATCAAGAGTGCTGATTGCATACCATATTTGAATGCACTAAGTATTAGCACTTCAAAGTTTGACAATTACTTAGATGAGCATTAATATCTAATTTAAATATTTTTTCTAACTTACATTTTAAATTATTAAAGTACTCCAAGTTGATTAAAAAGAAGCAAAGTTAAGAGAGTTAAAATCACCTAGAATCTCATTATCCAGAAATAATGTCTGTATTTTGATAAATATTTTTCTGACAATTTTTAATACCTGTAGTTATACTTTGTAGAATTTTTACTTGGGTTTTAAAGTAAAAAAAAAAACATAAGCATTTTCTAATTTCCTAGTTTTAGGCAAAATTATTTCTGTGTTTTCAAAATACTGTATATTTTCCATAACACTTGGCATATTTAGTGATACTTAACTGTTTCTTCTTTGTTTCTTATTTCTTTTCTGCTTTCTGTGTCTCTGCTCTTCATCTAGAAAACAGAGAAAAATACTACCTAGACCATAAGGATTACCTAATAATACAAAAATGTAGATAACAGTATAAGAGCTACTGTGCCTAGGAGTTTTTATATTGATCGTAGTCTCTAGGCTCCCTGAGGGTCTTCTACAGCATTTGGCACATAGTAGAAAACTTCATGAATGTGTTTTTATTATTAAAGGCCATCTAGTACTTTAAATAATAATCTGATGTGAGTAGGATGAACAAAAGCCAGTACATGATTAAGAGATTCACTCAATAACACAGCAAAAAGCACAATTATTGTTACCTAAACATTTGTAAGTTAACTTAGAATTCATAATGTGATTTCTTGAGGGGCCATACAAATTTTCCTTATCCTATATAATAAAAGACAAAAAGGGTAATTGACCACACCTTCGCTATGCTTCCCATTGGCTAATCAGCGAGATATGCAAATTAACCACCAACAAAGATGGCGGCCGGCAGCCACACAGCTGAAGTGAGCAGGAGGCTTGCTTGCTGCAGTGATGGAGGAAGCCAAGGTTCCCCCCCTGCCGCAGCCTGGCTCTGAGCTCCGAAAGCAACAAAGTTTCAATTATAGAAGCTAAACAAACCCAGATACCTGCTTTCAGCAGGCCGTGGCCTCAGAGCTGCAGCAAGCAGGAACCAGCCCTCAGCTCCAGTGACAGCAACAAAGTTTCAATTATAGAAGGTAAATAAATCCCAGAATTTTGAAAAAATACTTTAAAAAAAGAAAAGAAAAAAAGGAGAGGCTGGGAGCTTCAGTCGCCGGCCAGCCTGAAAACGGCCCTCAGCCCCTCACCCAGACTGGCCAGGCACCCCAGTGGGACCCCCACCCTGATCCGGGACACCCTTCAGGGCAAACCAGCCGGCCCCCACCTATGCACCAGGCCTCTATCATATATAGTAAAAGGGTAATATGCAAACTGACCCTAACAGCAGAAAGACTGGGAATGACGGTCATTATGACACACACTGACCACCAGGGGGCAGACGCTCAATGCAGGAGCTGCCCTCTGGTGGTCAGTGTGCTCCCACATGGGGGAGCTCTGCTTAGCCACAAGCCAGGATGATGGCTGCCAGTACAGTGGTAGTGGTGGGAGCCTCTCCTGCCTCCTCAGCAGTGCTAAGGATGTCCGACTGCAGCTTAGGTCTGCTCCCCACTGGCAAGTGGACATCCCCCGAGGGCTTTCAGGCTGCCAGAGGGATGTCTGATTGCCATCTTAGGCCCAATCCCCTGGGGAGCAGGCCTAAGCCAGCAGGTGGACATCTTCCGAGGGGTCCCAGACTGCGAGGGGGCACAGGCCAGGCTGAGGGATGCGCCCCCCCCTCCCACGAGTGCACAAATTTTTGTGCACCGGGCCTCTAGTCCTAAATAATAAAAGGCTAATATGCAAATCAAATGGTGGAACAACCGGTTGCTATGACGTGCACTGACCACCAGGGGCAGACGCTCAATGCAGAAGCTGTCCCCTGGTGGTCAGTGTGTTCCCATAGGGGGAGTGCCACTCAGCCAGAAGCCAGGCTCACAGCTGGCGAGCACAATGATGGTGGCGGGAGCCTCTCTCACCTCCGCGGCAGCACTAAGGAAGTCCAACTGCCCTGGAGAGCGGGCCTAAGCTGTCAGTTGGCCATCCCCCGAGGGCTCCCCGACTGCGAGAGGGTGCACAGGCTGATGGAACTCCCCACAAGTGCACAAATCTTGTGCACCGGCCCTCTAGTAAGAATATAATTACCCCACTTAACAGAGGAAGGATATTGTAAAAGTGAATTTTTCAAAAAGTCTTTAAAGTCTTTCAGTAGCAAACTGTTTTAACTATTTTAAATGGAAGAGTCTGTACACATGCATTTTATTTTTCTACCTTCAAATAATAGGTAGCCTGTAATTTCACTTATTATGAAATATAATAATAGCTAACATTTATTGGGCAGTAACGCTATGCAAGGCATAGTATTAAGCACTTATGTTACCTAATTTAGTTTTAAAACAATTCTATACAGTTTACACTGTTGTTTTGCCTACCTTCCATGTGATGGAGTGCATGCCTAGAGATATTAATCTTGCCAAGGTTATTGAGGTTTCCGATTTATCCTAAACGAAATAGCAATAGTTGCCCTGCTTTTTTTAAGATGGCGGGGATAGCAGAATTCCATGATTTTTATTGATTTATATCAGTGATTTTTGGTGTTTTCTCCTTGATGTTAGCTGTTCCTTGTTGACATTGTCACTCCCTCCTTCTATTATGCAGCAGGCATCTGCTGTGGACTATAAAACTGTACAACAACAGCTAATATTATTTCTAAAATGAAAGTTTTTAGTCAGTGATTAAACGCTTTTAGGATGCTCAGATAGTCTGGATTGCAGAACTGAAAGATTGTACTGTGTGGTTGGTGGTTGGTGGGCCAGCCCTGCCCCTGATTGGGAGGGGGGAGGTGGGGCTGATCGGGGGCGGGGCCAGCTGGGGGGGGGGGCTGCAGGCGGTTGGCCGTCCCCACCCCCTGGTTGAACTCAGAGTCGAGGGGACAATTTGTATATTAGCCTTTTATTATATAGGATGATTTAACAGTATCCACTGATTTGATTGGACAGAGATTTTGTGTGTTTTTTTCAGTCTCACTTATTCACTGGCTCTAAATTGTGTTCAAGATAATTGGGATTATTAGATAGAAAATTTCTGTAAAATCAAGTCAGTTTGTATTTTAGATTTTTTAAAGGGCCTTCTAGTCTATTACTTCATTGTCTTTTAGGGGCAGGCTAAAATTAGTTTTTGTTCTTCTTAGTCATCTGTACTCATTTTCTATTCAAAATTGTGTGGGCTTAATTTATCCTTACTGTGTGACTTAGTCTGTTTCAAATCTTAACTTTTTTGTCCGATTACAGGGAGCAGATTTCCCAAATAATTGAAGCTGCCTCATTGTTGACTTATATGATACTTGTTTTATCTTTAAGTCTTCATTTTCTTTTATTGTTCCATTTAGGCCATACAAAATTATCAACTTAAAAATTAGCCTGCTCTATTTGGTCAAACGTTTAATTAATTCACCCCTAATGCCTTGGCAGGGCCGGACCCAATGATTTTCTGGGCCTTGTATGGCCTGCAGGCTGGACAGTCCCCACCCCTGAATTACAGAGTTATTTGGAAGAGAGTTTTAATTTATGGATACTGGGTTTGGGCTGTGCGTGTTTTTTTTAATTTGCTTCTAGCTATCTGCTGCTAACTTCTCATTTTTTATATCATGGTCAGAGTATGTTTCCATTATGTTGGTTTGAGTTTTTCCTAAGCCTTAAAAGTTGGTTAGCGTAAATGTCTGTCTATATCTCAACTTTGAAGTCAAGAAACTCATAGTGAATTATTTCAGCACTTGAAATAAGGGTCATTTTTATTGTTGTAGTTTAAATACTATATACCCTGGAGTTTAATGCCACATCATCATTTAAGCACTGTGGATAAGAGAAATAAATCTAATGCTTTGAATTGTCAGGGCTTTTTGTCATCTTTGTGGAAGGATAGAATGATGTAACTTTCAAAATAGGCTGATTTCCCAGTTTGTTTTAAAAGTGTTTGAGTTCCTTAAATGCGGTTTCTCTGCTTGTAGAACTTCATACCTCTCAGCCCCGGTGTTCTCCCTCTGCGCGTTTCCTAGGATTTCCTTGGGAGTTGGAGGGGCTAGCAGCTGTGGCTCCTCCATGGCCCTCCTTACGCTCTTCACCTTACGCAGTTTAATCATATTTCAGAGAGCATCTTCCAGATACTTCCCACTTTCACCCCCAGAAGGGGGGGGCGGGGGGGAATTAGCTCTTCTTTCCTGAGCTGATTATGAATGGTATGAATAAAAAGGAATAGCAAAATTATCAGAATTAACTCACATTCTTGAAAATGGAGAGTGGTGGCAATTCTAGTGATTCCTGTAAGAAAATTAACCAAATGCTTTTTTTTTTTCTGAAGAGGAAAAGATGTTTTAAATTATTGCCCTTTTATTTCCTATTGAGTTCCCTATTTTTCAGTGTTCTTCTAGGTCTTTCAATTGCATTGAAGAGAGATCCTCTGATTGGTTCTAATGTCTTTTACCCCCACCCTCTGTTTAATAAAAACATCTGCAGGGAACATTCTTATTCAAAATTGAGGTTTGAGTAAGATTAGATTCAGAGTATAGGTAATATATGTTTAAAGTACGGTGTTGAAAACACATCAGGAATCCAGCATATAAGAAAAATGTCACAAAATTGATTTTGTGATTTTAGTTGAAGTAGGAAATTTGAAGGCTGGCCTTGGTGGCGGGGAAGCAGGAGCCAGGTTGGCAGCTGTGGCTTAGCTTGGAGACCCTCCAGTGGTGTGATAGCACCTGAGTGCAGACAAGGCAGGTGGAGAACGCACGCGGAAACTCCTGAGTGACAGCCAGAAGCCAGGATGCCAGTTTGGCAAGCAGCGGGCTATCAGGTGCTGAGTCTTGGGCCTGATCATTCCTCAGAATAACAGATGGGTCGTAAATGTTTATTTCCTACTTTGATAGCAAATGAGTACTTAAGTTTCATGTGCATTTTAATTGGGTACTTATTTGATGATGAACACTTCAAATAGGCAGGACAGTTCAGCATGGATTTACATTTGGCCAAAGTTCTGAAATAATTTTCTTCTCACTGTGTATAGCCTCTTACTCAGCTTTTCGTATTATCTCTTTAAAAGATAATAAGAGCCCTGACTGGTGTGCTCAGTAGTTAGAGCATCGACCTGCTTACCTGAAGGATCATGTGTTTGATTCCTGGTCAAGGGCACATACCTCAGTTGGGGGTTCGACCAATAGATGTCTTTCTCATATCAATGTCTCTCTCTCTCCTTTTTTTCTTTCCCACTCTCCCTTATACTCTCTAAAAAAATCAATGTGGGGAAAAGAATACATTATGCTTGGGTAAGGCTTAACAGGATAAAAAGATAATCAGAATTATATTATAAAATAAAATAACCAAATACTTCTTTTAGAAATAATGGATCTGAAGACTGACTAATTTGTTTAATTGCCAAATCTTTGCTTCCCACTAAAGTAACTTTTTGCTTACCAAACCCACTGGGTTAAGAACCTTTCCCAAGAGTGAGAAAGGTAAGCTGATTCTATCCTCCCTGTACCTGCTTCTGCCCGTGCACATGGTCACCCACATATCAACACACACAAGTGAGGTGGAGGTCAGGTCAGGCATAAGGAAGGAAATCCAGGGACCAGAAGTATGCTGAGATTCTTATATTTAAGTCTCTTTATCTAACCATTAAATGGTCATTTGGTTCAAGAAGCTATTCTTACAATATCAATCACCCCTTCCTTCATACAGTAAACCCTCGATTTTCAGACCTCAGTTTAACAGACTTCTGATTTAACTGACAAAATTTCCAGTCCATATGTCATATGTGAAAATTAACACCCTGTTAATTTTAAAAAGCTTTTAACCAAGATTTGCTTATAATTAAATTGACAGGGTGTTTTTTGTTATGAATTCAGTTATTTTTAACAGATTTTAGCAAATAGGCCATATGTTGGAGAAAAAACTAGTAATTTCACCGACATAAATAAAATTACATATCTACAACTATAGTCTACATATTTATATTCCAGAGTCACAGCTCCTAAGCAGTGTTTGGGAAATGATTAGCACGTGATCACGCGAGGCGAGGCGAGTAGTAATTGGTTCTGTTGTCACATGGCATGGGGTGACTTTCTGCGGCAGTTTTACCGCTGGTGGAAGTGGTTCTGACCTGCCCTGAGCCACGCCCCAACTGTGCGCATTTGTTTACTCGAGGGGACTGGTCAATGCACCCATTTACTGACCTATTCAGTGTAAATGTAAAATGACAGTAATACATATAGAAAGCTTTTCTGTGAAATTAAACTTTTCATACATACTTAATTTTAATCGCACAAACATGTCTATATAAGTAATAACAGGTAAACTAATCTGTCATTTTTTAACATACGCATTTGGAAAATCTACTTTATTATATAACGGACTTTAGCTTTAATGGACACACCCTCGCTCGAATTAGTCCGTTATATCGAGGAACCATACTTTAATGCTTAATAATTGCTTTAAGCTTACACGTATCCCAATACCCGCACTGATCTTTCATTTGGAGTTTTGACTTTTGGTGGGAGAGAGATTGGAAGGAGCAACAGGATGAGAGTATTTAGACTGCCAACTGGCAGCAGTGAGCCTCTAGGGGTCTTAAGAGCTGGGGAGGAAGATTGCAGATGGGTTGGAAAAGGAGGCAGAAGCGACACCAGCTCACCTCCTGCTCTCTGAGGACTGGCAGGTCCTGCCAGGGGCCTTTCTCACCGTTCACTCTTCACTCCCAGGGAGTCCTGGCCCGTGGGTCTCCTAGAGGCTGGGAACGACTGGCAAGGCTGAGGGGGTAGACAGAGGAGCCCTTCCCTGCTCCTTTTGGTTTTCACCAAGTTATTATCCCTTTCGTTATTCTCATTTGTTCATTTAGTCATTCATAGATATGCATCACTTTTTCCTCTCCTGCCCCACTGAATCCGTTCTCCTGGTTTAAAGTTCTAACGGGGAAAAAAGAGAAAATGAAAAACTTATCCTTCCCTATCACCCTCCAAACTATCTTTCTATATCTTATTCCTTTCCTGTCATACTTATTAAAAGAACACTTATACTACCATCTTTTTCAGCACACTCTTACCAGGTTTTTTTTTTTTTTTCTTAATCAGGAGTTTTTAACCTGGATTCTGTGGTTCCCCTTTGCTATGGATATGAGTTTGGGCATTCTGTGATGCTGGGTGAGAAAAAAATTTTTATTATTATATTCATAATTTCTGAATGAAATTTAGCATTTTCCTTAATTATGAATATAGGCAACAATCCCAATATTAATAACAGTATATATGACTTTGTTACCCACAGAAATCATAAACATTTCTCTGTCATGTTATAGTTGAAATAAATATTTTGAGTATCTTTCACTTTTAACTACAAAATCATTGTAGTGATTAGATCTGCTGTTATATCTTATTTTAATATGTTAATGTAAAGGTATATATTTCAGTATACCACAATTTTATATATTTTGATAACTGTATTTTAATATAATTGGTTTCTTTGTAATAAAATTCTTTTTTTTTAATTTATGTATTTAAAAGCATTACTTTGAATTTTTTTAACAGTTATTTAAGGGAGACTTCATTAGACTAAGAAAGTGATCAATAACACAAAAACATGGTTAAGCCTTACCAGTTTTGCTCCGGGGATAGAGCCTCAGCCTACAGACCCAATGGCCCCAGGTTCGATTCCAGTCAAGGGCACGTACCTTGGTTGCAGGCTTCTCCCCGGCCTGGGTCCTGGTCGGGGCTCTTGCAGGAGGCAACCAATCAATGTGTTTCTCTCACATCGATATTTCTTTTTTTTTTTTTAATTAAATCTTTATTGTTCAGATTATTACAGTTGTTCCTCTTTTTCCCCCCATAGCACCCCTCACCCCCCCCCACTGTCCTCATCCATAGGTGCACGATTTTTGTTCAGTCTCTTCCAGCATCCCCCACACCCCTTCCCCCCCCACCCCAAGAATAGTCAGTCCATTCCCTTTCTATGCCCCTGATTCTATTATAATCACCAGTTTATTCTGTTCATCAGATTATTTATTCACTTGATTTTTAGATTTACTTGTTGATAGATGTGTATTTGTTGTTCATAGTTTGTATCTTTACCTGTTTCTTCTTCTTCCTCTTCTTAAAGGATACCTTTCAGCATTTCATATAATACTGGTTTGGTGGTGATGAACTCCTTTAGCTTTTCCTTATCTGTGAAGCTCTTTATCTGGCCTTCACTTCTGAATGATAGCTTTGCTGGATAAAGTAATCTTGGTTGTAGGTTCTTGGTATTCATCACTTTGAATATTTCTTGCCACTCCCTTCTGGCCTGCAAAGTTTCTGTTGAGAAATCAGCTGAGAGTCATATGGGTACTCCCTTGTAGGTAACTGACTGTTTTTCTCTTGCTGCTTTTAAGTTTCTCTCTTTGTCTTTTGCTCTTGGCATTTTAATTATGATGTGTCTTGGTGTGGTCCTCTTTGGATTCCTTTTGTTTGGGGTTCTCTGTGCTTCCTGGACTTGTAAGTCTATTTCTTTCACCAGGGAGGGGAAGTTTTCTGTCATTATTTCTTCAAGTAGGTTTTCAATATCTTGCTCTCTCTCTTCTTCTGGCATGCCTATAATTCTGATGTTGGTACGCTTGAAGCTGTCCCAGAGACTCCTTATACTATCTTCATATTTTTGGATTCTTTTTTCATTTTGCTTTTCTGGTTGGGTGTTTTTTGCTTCTTCATATTTCAAATCTTTGACTTGATTCTTGCGATCCTCTGGTCTGCTGTTGGGAGTTTGTATAATATTCTTTATTTCAGTCAGTGTATGCTTAATTTCTAGTTGTTCCTTTATCACAACCTCGAGGGTCTCATTAGATTTCTTGAAGGTCTCATTAAGTTTATTGGCGGTTTCTAGAAAATTCTTGAAAAACCTTAAAAGTGTGGTTTTGAACTCTATATCCAGTTGTTTGTTTTCCTCCATTTCTTTCATTTGTGTCCTGTTTCTTTGTCTCCGCATTTTTTTATGCTTTGCTGTGTTGACAGAGTGGCTTTCTGTGCTAGGTGTCCTATAGGGCCCAGTGGCTCAGCCTCCCCAATTACCTGAGGTAGACACTCTTGGTGCACCCCTTTGTGGGCTTTGTGCACAGTCTTGTTGTAGTTAAGCCTTGATTGTTGTAGGTAGCACTGGGGGGGATTGGCCTCCAGGCCAATTGGCTGTGAGAATCAGCTGTGTCTGCAGTGGGAGAACTTCTGTGCTGGAGACACCCCTCCAGGGCAAGACTTGCTTTAATGGGGCTTTGGTGGCCACTGAGTCTGCCCCCTGAGTGTGTTGTTTATGGGTCCGAGGAGCTGCAATCTGGATGGTCCCACTCTGACCACTGGGCACACTGGCTCCTGTATCTCTAAGGAGGTGCTAATCTAGCCTTTGCCTGAGGCTACCCAGCAGGAGCCAGCTGAGATGCAATGCAAGTTGCCCTGGGGCCTTAGGCCAGCTGCAGTTTGTTAGGTATTTATCAGATTGCAAAGCACCAGGCCTTTCATATGCAAAAGCCTCTGTTCACAGCTTGGGCGGGGCAGGGATCCCAGGGTTCAACAGGGAGGAATGAGCAGTTATGGCTGCTCTCAGTCCTGCCCTCAGAGGCCCTGCTTCTCAGTGTCCCGGCAATCGCTGCAAGCACCTCTGAGAGAAAGCTGCCCTCGAGTTCTGACCGATGCCAGACAGTCCAGTTTCTCCCGTATGAGTCTGGGTCCCCAAAGACTCGCCTGGAACTGGAGCTCAGAGCTTGAGACTCCCTCCCGATTGAAAAAAACAACCGTGTCCTTAGCCGCCAGCCCTCTCCGCATGCGCCTCTGTACCTCTGTATTTTACTTCCACACCGCACCTCCTCTGAGTCTCGGTATGCTTTTCTCTTTCCTTCTAGTTGTAGAATTTCCACTCAGCCAGCCTTCCTGTGGTTCTGGATGATGTCCGTTCCATCTTTTAGTTGTATTTTTGAAGTGGTTGTGCGACGCAGCAATTTCCGGTGTTTACCTATGCCGCCATCTTGGTTTTCCACAAAGCCATTCTTTTCTCACATCGACATTTCTCTGTCTTTCCCTCTCTCCTTCACTCTCTCTAAAAATCAATGGAAAAATATACTTGGGTGAGGGTTTAAAAAAAAAATACAAGGTTAAGAATAGCTGTCTGTTCATTCCACAGAAATAGCTCCCTCAATATCCTCAGTCATTCTGCAGTATATTTATAGCATTTGATGCCATCAATTTTTTTTATTACTTCCTCCTCTTCTGTCTTTAGTATTAAATCATTTCTGGGGTAGTTCAGTTAGGTAGAGCGTCGTCCCAATTCACCAAGATTGTGGGTTCAATCCCTGGTCACGGCACATACAAGAATCAACCAATGAATGTATAAATAAGGGGACAGCAAATCCAATCATTTCTGGACCCATTGGCTCTATCTTAGAAAATGTCTCATATTTGTTTGTCTCTTTTTCCATCATTTCCTGGAACCAAAGTTGAAACTCTAATATAGCATTCAAGACTTCCCATAAACTGGCCACTTTCTAGCCTCTCTTACACATAATCTATATATTTCATCATCTCTCACATCGCTGGGCCTTTGATTTTGTTGTTCTCTGGCCAAAAATCTGTCTTTCCCCACTCCCCTCCTTCCCCCTGCACAGACACACACACCATAGTGTATATAGGAATGTGTCATCATCATCATTCAGTCCTTAGCATACATGTCACCTCTCAGGACCTTCTCAAATCTGAGCTGCTGTCTTTGTCTCTCATACCCTTCATATCACTATTAATAGCATTAATTTTGACATACCCTATGTTACATGGACATTCCTTTATCTGGTTTCCCTAGTATAAATTTTATATTCCTTAGGATAGCAACTGTATTTATGTTTATCACCCATCTTCTCCACTTAGCATTATCCCTTTCTCATAATAAGCATTCAAATAAATGTTTTTGAATGAATACATGAATTCATTGAAAACTAGTTTAACCTCTCATTTATTCTGATTGAGTAATCATGAATCATTCTGCTATGTTCCTGCCTTTCATCAGAATATTACTTATTAAATGTATTAGTTGTAAACAATTTTAAAATAAAATTTGATCAACTAGCTTACATCTATAAAAATGCCCTAAGAAGTAAGATACTCTGTACTTAAATATTACTATCAATATATTCCTCAGCCATTAAAATCTTAACAAAATAATTTTTTAACAATTATTTAAGGGAGATAATTATTATGGAGTTAATTTTTCAATAGTTAATAGCTTATAGATCTTAGAAAAAAAGCTAACTCTGAAAAGTGTTCAGTTTATTATTTTAGGATAATCTGTGTCTAAAAATTAAAAGATTATTGAGGTGGGAAGAGATGGCTGCTTTTTGTCTACAGCCATTTATTTTTAAGTAATTTCTCACAACCCACCACTTACAATCAGGGGTGGGGAAGGTCTGGCTCGCAGGCTGTATGATTTGGCCTGGCCCTGCCAAGGCAAACGCAGACAGGACTCGAAATTCAAATCTAGGAGCTTTTTTTCGTAACAACATAATTTTTAAGTTGATAATTTTGTATGGCCCGTGAATGATGTTTTAAATATCCAAATGGCCCTTGGCAGAAAAAAGATTCCCCACCCCTGAAAACTGAAAGAAATGTTTTCCACAGAAACTCTTTGCTTCCTCTCAGGCGCCTGTTACATTTTCTTCTATTTATACTTCCATTTTCTCCCTCATCCCTTCACTCCTGCCCACCATCAAATCAATGTGTTTTTTCCTAAGCCATTGGTTTCCAACCATTTTTATACTTGTGTTCCTTACAATGCTTTCTAGCATCTTCTAATTAACCTCACTAGCTAAAGTATTCCATGACACTTAACTCATCAGTTTTTCTTACAAAAAAGGATAGGTATGTTTATCTTTTCCAAACTAAATGTTATCCCCTTTCCCTCTGAGAGACATTGTTCTAAATTATTTATTTAACAAAATTCACATGGTTAAGGTCATGAACAAAGACAGCATAGGGCATTTGAACTCCAGGTCATTTGATATTTTGATTCTATGAACATGTGGTAAGAAGAGCTAATGGCACATGGGACACAATTGTATCCTTTGCCTGCATGATAGTCTGTTTTTGGGGGAGGTTTTTTTTGTTTATTTTGGGTTTTTTGCACAATCTTTCCCATCTAT